TTGCCTAAGGTCATGTCTGGTAAGTGGCAGAGCCAGGATTTAGATTGAGGGCATGTGTATTAAGGGGCCAAGTACTTAATCCCTACACCATCACTTCCTGTCATGACGAGGTGGCAGGATGGGGAGGGAGCAGAATGCAGCTACCAGGAAGAAGACCCGTGGAATACAAGAGAGCTGGGACACTGGTGGCACCAGGGTGTGGCAGAGCATAGGGACAGCGAGGGCTCCAGTGGGACTGGGAGAACAGCTGAGGTTACAGGGTCAGAAGCAGACTCCAGTTAGGCCAGAGGCGCTTCCCCAGTGAGCCAGGTGCGGCCCTGGGCCACTGCTCCCACCTCCAGCAGCGGACCCCCCAGGGGCAGGGGAGTATCAGTACTAAACTTTTAGAGGATTCGCTCCAGAGCAGTAACGGTGAGGTCTAATCAGATGCTGTCAGTAAAACAGGAGTTAAAGTAAGGATTAGTGTATTTACATCTTAAATCTTACTATGTTTTTACCAATTTTATTTACTAGAGATTTAAGGCCTGCTTACTTTGAATACAAATTACTTCCAAAACCGAATATAATGCAAATACCACAACTGGGATGAAGTTTATGGCAGTATGACTGGAGGGCTGGAGGCCAGGATGTCACCAAGAGAGGTCTGTGTGTGACCAAGAGGCCTCGCGGGATGGTATGACCGTGAAACAGCTGCCACCGTAGCAAGGTCATGCATCCAACACTTAACCTTGCAGACTCCACAACCACTGTCACCACAGTGGAATCGTACAGGCTCATGACTAGGGCATTCTATTCAGAACCAAATTCTATCCAGAAGGTTGCCTAGAATCAGAAAAGTTGGGTATTCTCCAGAAATGCTTCTGGAGGTACTTTTCCCCTTTGTCAAACAAAGAGAGGAGAAACTTTGAAATATCTGTATGAGCCCCCTTCTCCCTGGAATAATCCTTGGATACAGTACATGACTGAAATCTGTTTTCCTCTCAGCCTCTTTGTTTTCTTTGAACTATACTTCCATATTTTATCCATCCTTTCCTCTTTTTCTAAATGGCACAGTGCAAGAATTCCCCTAAATAAAATGGACTCTGTGTCAAAACAAGTTTCTGGGGCCCCCCCCCCCGAACATTTCAAAGAACCAGTGTCCAGTACAACATTGGGAAATGCTGATCTGGGAAGACCTGAGTTTTTAAAAAAGGTAGTCTTAAATTTTTATATTCAAAAATCATTAGTTAATCTAGGTTATAATTAGCTTTTTTTTTAAGAATTAAAAATTACCACTGCATGCTCCTGTAGGGGAGAATTCAGCAGTTATGACAAATAAGTGTAATAACACAAAATCTGAGTCATAGACAAGGTACAGTACCTGAAAAAGTCACTGCATGCTGCTAAGACACAACGATGACACGGGATTGTTTCATCTTTCATGATTATTTTGAAATCATAAAAGACATTTTGTTCTCTAAAATTCTGTAGTACACTTAAGATTTTCTGTCCATGATCTTCAGACACAAGGAAGTTGTTTTTCTTCTCAGATGGAAGTCCATTACATGAGTTTCGTTGGTTGAGATGATATGAATTATCCATAGCCAATTCCAATTGTTCTTAGAACTGGAAAGAAAAACAATCACTGATGTAGTAGAGTCCTGATGAAATTTCAGATCCAAAATTTGTTTATGTCAATTACACAAAAATTCTAAGATCATAATAAACCTTGATCTAAACATTTGTTTTCATGAATTTCTTTTGAACTTTTATAAATATTGAGCTACTAGAAAATAAAAGACTATATTAAATTGAGGCATAAAGTTCAAGCCATACAATTGTGTCAAATAGCACCATTTATAATTTATATATATAGCTCATATAGGATCTCCCCACATGACTAGTCTTGTTACACATAAGAGGTATTATTTTATAGTAGCCATCACATGGGTATATACCCAACACATCCCTCTGCCTCCCATCCCTTTTCTTCTGGTAGCATAGCCGATGTTAAAGTATCCATCTTGAAGCATAGCCTTCTGGGGTTCAACTTTCAAGACAGAAATAATTGAAAAAGATCAGTGTTACACTGTGTTAACTAGTTAGGGCCTTTAGAAAGGAACAAAAAGGCAAGCATTGATACATGTTGGCCTGTTTGGATACCTTTTCTTTTTGTTGTCTGATTGCTATGACTAGGACTTCCAGCACTATGTTGAATCCAAGCGGTGAGAGGGAACAACCTTGTCCTGTTCGTGACCTCAGAGGAAAAGCTCTTAGTTTTTCCCCATTGAGGATGATGTCAGTCAGCTGTGAGGTTTTCATAGATGGGCTTTATGTTGAGGTATGTTCCCTCTAACCCTATTTTGTTGAGGGGTTTTTATCAGGAATGGATGTTGAACTTCATCAAATGCTTTTTCTCCTTCTACTAAAATGATCCAATGGTTCTAGTGCTTTCTTTTATTAATGTGGTGGATCATGTTGATTGATTTGTGAATACTGAACCACCCCAGCAGCCCAGGAATAAATCCCACTTGACTGTGGTGAATGATTCGTTTCAATGTATTGTTGGATTCCAGTCGCTAGTATTTTACTGAGAATTTTTGCATCCATGTTCATCAGGGATATTGACTGTAGTTCCCTTTTTTAGTGGAATCTTTATCTGGTTTTGGTATCAGGGTGATGGTGGCCTAAACAAATGAATTTGGAAGTTTTCCTTCCATTATATTTTTTGGGAAAGTTTAAGAATATTAACTCCTCTTTAAATGTTCGGTAGAATTCACCTGTGAAGCCATCTGGTCCCGGATTTTTGTTTGTTGAGAGGTTTGTGATTTTGGACTCAATTTCGTTGCTGGTTATTGGCCTTTCAAATTTTCTATTTCCTTCTGTTTCAGTTTTGGTAGTTTCTATGTTTCTAGGTATTTACCCATTGCTTCTACATTGTCTAATTTGTTGGCTTACTGCTTTTTAGAATATTCTCTTATGATCGTACTTCCACGTTGTTGGCTGTTATTTCTCCTTCATCATTTGTCATTTTATTTAGTTCTCTCTCTCTCTCTCTCTCTCTCTTTTTTTTTTTTAACCAAGTTGGCCTATTTGAAAGCAGGACAGAAAACAGTATAACTTCACTAAAAAAGGCCTTTTAAACATGCGATCAGAAGTCTAAGACAGTTGAAGGCCAGACAACCGTGACTTTGCCAAACTGCAGATTCAATTCTATGCAAACAAGTTTACCCACCAAAAAGCAAGGAAGGAAGTGGGAAACAGGTTCTCTACCCGTTCAGAGAAACTTGTCTAGTAGCAAACTAGAAATGATCCCTGAGTCTTCAGAAAGGAAAAGAAGCCTGAGAACTAGGGAGCCAAAGAAATAGGGAACATTGATTCCCTTAGTATGTTTTTATCCCAGTTATCTAGTGCTTTGCAAATCATCCTAAACTTAGTGGCTTAAGACAACAGTTTATTGTATCTCATGGTTCTGTGGGTTTCACTGGAGCTTCTTGCTCTGGGACTTTCATATACATAGAGTCAGATGGGAGCTCTGGCTGAGGTCATCTGAAGGCCTGACTGGGCTACAGGTCCAACATGCTTCCTTCTTTCCCATTCTGGATGCTTCAAACGGGATGGCTAGAACAGACGGTGTCTGTCTATGTGCACTCTGTCCATGTGGGCAGCCTATACTCCCTCATAGCATGGCAGTGTCACGGTGGCTGGGTTCTCCCAGACAAAGCGTTTCAGGCCCGGGTGGGAGCTATATACCCAGTGGTCCTACAACTTCAATTAAAGCTCTAGGACTGAGCCATCTACTGCTCTCTTGTCCAATATAGTAACCATGAGCCATGTATCACTATTTAAATGTAAATTACCTAAAATTCAATTAAATTAAAAATGTAGTTGCTGTAGCCATATTTTAAGTAATCAGTAGCCATATGTAGTGATGGTTACTTTTACGTGTCAACACAGCTGGGCCATGGGGTGTCCAGATATGTGGCTAAGTAGTGTTTGTGGGTGTGTCCATGGGGGTGTTTCTGGAGGAGATTAACATTTAATTGGGACAGTAAGTAAAGCAGGCTGCCCCGCCCTCCCCCCCCAACCCCGTAATGTGAATGGGACTCATCCAGTCCATCCCAGAATAGAACAAAAGGCCAAGAAGGAATTCTGTCTGTCTGCCTGGATGTCAAGGAGTTGGAGCTTCAGGCTTCTGCTCTGAACTGAGTCATGGATGGTAACGGTGCTGTCGACTCTCCTGTGCCTCCAGCTTGCGGGCCGCAGATCTTGGGATTTCTCACACTCAAGGATCATGGAAACCAACTTCTTATAGCAGATCTGTCCGTCTATGTCTCCACCTGGTTTCCCTCGAGAACTCCACCAACACTTGTGGCTGTTCTGTTGTACAGCAGAAATGCACAATATTTTCCTTATCACAGAAGTTCAGTTGGATGGCTTCTGTAGTATATGAAGGAAGAACAGCATGTGCACATGCATGAGAGAGCATGTGCGTGTACAAGTGGGGGAGTAATAGGATGGAATTGGCAGTATTATTGGAGAAGTAAGTTACCTGCAGTAATTCAGTGAGCAGTGTTCTAAAGTAGTTGCAAGTAGGGAGACATAACAAGTGTGGGTGTCAGGAAGGGAGAGAGATAATTAGAGGTTTGGGATCAGTTCTGAAGAAAAGGCAGGCAGAAAACAGTTGTATTGGTCAGAGGTCTCTAGAGAAACAGAGCCAGTGAACCTACAGGTTACAAGCCTGTTGGTTTTGTGTAGACACACATGCACACACATGCTGGTACTTGTGTGTCTATAAAAAGTAAGGACTTGGCTCACAAAATTATAGAGGTCCCAGGATCTGTGGTTGGCACTCTGGAGACCCAGGGCAGCTGGTGATGTAAGCTCCAGTCTGAAAGCTGGGCAGCCTGGAGAGCTGGGAACAGCTGACTTTTTTCAGTTTGAGTCCAAAGGCAGCAATGGTTGTCTCAACTCAGCACTCGGGTAAGGTTCGTCTTACTCAGCAATTTTGTCCTATCCAGGTCTTCTACTGATTGGATGAGGCCCACCCTCATGAGGAAGGACAACCTACTTCTCCCAGTCTGTCTGTCCAAGTGTTAACTTCATCTGGAAGCTCACTCAACAGAAACACCCACAATAATATCTGACCAAATGTCTGGGCACCCTATGGCCCCGTTAAGTTGATATAGTAATTAATCATCACAACACTACAAATCTTAACAATGTTAACAATATCTGACCTTAGATGGAAAAGAACATATAACCCAAGTTAGAGTGGGGTGCACAGAGAATTGTGTAGGGCTGCCACCCCAGGAGTAATTCTTCACCTCGCAAGGCATGCCTCTTAAGCCACTTGTAAAACTCTGTTATTAAAATTATGGATATTTTTTCTAAGAACTATAAAGTCATCCATTTTCCCAGGGCTGCGATATAATGTGAGCAGTAGGATGAACAGGCTTCAGAATTGGAGAGATGAGCTCCGTGCTGTTTCAGCACTTGACTTGTGAAATATCTGAGGCCAGGAACTTCTGGTCTTTGATTCTCATTTTTTCCTTCTGTAAAATAGGGACAGACTGTACCTGTCAGTCATTGTACTATTGAGAAGAGTAAAGATAATACATACTTGAGCATTAAGTATATGCTAGATAAGTGGAATTTGGTACTTTCTACCAAAAATTTAACACAACAGCCAAGGAAATCACTTAATTGATATTAATCAGGAGGTTTACATTACTCACGTAGTGGGGAGAAGAGTGAGAGAGGCAGCTGTCTAGTAATTGCTAAGCTGAAGAGAAGAGTTGAACACAAGTGCTGTCACTGTAAGAGTTTCTCTGAAGTGCCAGATCAGTGGACAGAAGACATAACCCTGCTTGAGACTTGAGCCAGCCTCTCCTACTGCCTCCGTGACACCGGAGGGAGAGGCCAAGGAGTGCGTCCACTACATAAAAGAGTACACGGGGCAGAGAAGCAGGCATGATCTATATAAGAGAGACAGACGTGACTTAATGCTGTGCAAAGGGTCAAAGCATCTTCTCAGCCACACAGTGAGACCAAGGTGTATCTCCTGGTCTGTTTCTCACGTCTAGCAGTGGGCTGGTGCATCAGTGATCTGTAACAGCAATGCAGGGTCTCTGCTCATCCTGCCTCAGAGAACCACAGAATTGGTTGGGAGATGCAGTCCACATCGCCTAGACACCCCCTGGAACTGCTCTCAATTCTCATCCATTTAAAGGTATGTATTTAAATCTCTCTGACAGAGGAGGTTAGATGCTGAAGATTGAAATACACACTCATCTCCTATAATCTTAGATTCTTCTTGGGTTGTAAAAGTTCTTTCAAAGTTTACGATGATAGGTGTTGACAAGGCTGTGTGATCCACATGGGATAATGTAAAGCAGAGATTGCTACCCTGACCTTCAAGCCGTCTAGTGAGGGGGAGATGGAGGGAAGGAGGTGGGTAGATACTGAACACAACACTTTCATTCTGCATGTGATTATGTGCGTGTGCGTGTGTATCTATACATACAATTAACTTTAAAAAATATTTTTAGGGGCATTAAAAAATACCTCTATTTTCCAATTCTTTAATGTGGCCATGATTACCACTGGAAACTACCAAAGTTTAAGTAATATGCTGATTCCACCCGCCCCCCACCCCCACCCAAGCTCTGTTCGTTATATGTTTCCATTGAGATGAAGAGCTTCTCTACTGCCCAAGCCAGACACTCAGAAATCCTCCTCCACCAACCATATCTATTTTAAATTTTTTTCAACGTTTTTTATTTATTTTTGGGACAGAGAGAGACAGAGCATGAATGGGGGAGGGACAGAGAGAGAGGGAGACACAGAATCGGAAACAGGCTCCAGGCTCCGAGCCATCAGCCCAGAGCCCGACGCGGGGCTCGAACCCACGGACCGCGAGATCGTGACCTGGCTGAAGTTGGACACTTAACCGACTATGCCACCCAGGCGCCCCGGACCATATCTATTTTAAAACCACCACCTTTTCTCCACCCCGCTGCCGTTCTTCAGGATGAATCTCTCACTGTTCTCACTTGAACTGCTGCAGTGCCTCCACTCGGATCTTGCCTCCTCTGTGCAGTTTTATTGAATATCCTCGGGGCTTCAAACCCATGTGGGCATTGGGCATATGAAGATAAATGGGTCACAGGATCCCTGCTCTTGCAGGCCTCCAGGCCAGTTGGAAAGAAAGAAGTAACAAATGTGATAAGCGTCAAAACTGACATGGGAAGAGTATCAAGGAGGCAGGAAGGACAATCTCAGACTTGCTCTCAGGGAGGAGGAGGACAAAGCAGAGGGGAGAGGATGAAGGAAGACATTCTGATGGATGTGGTACTGGAGGTGTTAAAGAAAAAACGAAAGATGGTTACCGAAGAAGGTGAGGAAGACACTTCCAAGAGAAAAAAATGGTAAGTGGAGAGAGGGATGACAGAGTTATCACAGCCCCTTGGGAGAGACACCATGTTGAGAACCAGAGATGGGGCAGATAAAGCTGAAATAGTAAACGGCCTGGCTCACGCGGTCTGGCTACCATGCAAGGGGCCTGGGTTTCATTCTAGAGGTAATGAGGAATATTTATTTATTATTATTATTTTTTTTTTTCAACGTTTATTTATTTTTGGGACAGAGAGAGACGGAGCATGAACAGGGGAGGGGCAGAGAGAGAGGGAGACACAGAATCGGAAACAGGCTCCAGGCTCCGAGCCATCAGCCCAGAGCCTGACGCGGGGCTCGAACTCCTGGACCGCGAGATCGTGACCTGGCTGAAGTCGGACGGTTAACCGACTGCGCCACCCAGGTGCCCCGGTAATGAGGAATATTTAGAAGGACTTTAAATAGGAGAGGAATTGCACCATTGGATTTATATTTTAGAAACATCATTCTGCTAGGAATACAGCAGTGAGTAACCAAGATGTAGCTCATGTTCTCACTGCACTTACCACCGAAGGTAGCATTCACTGGTATGAGTAATATCAATTAAAAAAAATCCAAACATTGTTTTTTTATTGGATAAGAAATTTTCGTTTTTGTTAAGCCACTGAGATGTGTCTATTACAACAAATAGGATTATTTTAATTAATGCATATTAATTTTAATCCCAGCAACTCAAGTATATTTATTAATCTAAATATCTGTTGATTCTTTTGTGTTTTCTGCATAAAAAACTACATCATTTGTAGCCAATGGGGCTTGTTTGTTCTCTTTCCTGTTTTTTTACAGGCATTATTTCTTTTTCTTCTACTACAGAAGTAGCTAGGATCTCCTGTACAATGTTTAATTAAGGCAACAACGGTTTGTAATACTTTTTAATAAACGTGTGTATATATAATTTATATGTAATTTTTTTATAGCTGATTATACATATATAAGGAACTTGTAACTTGTGTTAGATTAAATCAATCATTGAGGATCATAATTCATGGATAAAAAGTGAGCCCAATGATATAGTATACAGTAATTTTTATTTCTATGACTAGTAATATAAGTAAAACTACTTAGTGGAAACTTTCAAGTATCAAACTAATACATTAGCATTATGCATAGGCATTCATTTTGGTAAAGTGGTTAAAAGTTAAAGGCTGCCATGGTTACTTCATATAGAATGGCTTCATACAGAAGCTGAAATTTTCTATTTTCTTAACTTGGTTTAAGCACATTTATATATGTAGACTTTATTTAATCATAATAATTATAAGTGCTATTGAAGAGAAAGGGTGTTGGAAAGTTTATGAAAGGGATAGGGGAACTGAATCCACAAGATAAGTAAAGCCACTGAAATGGATACAAATCAATCAAGAAAAATAAGTAGAATCAGTAGAGAAAGAGGGCTGAGAATGGAACTCCAATGATAACTAACCCTAAGGGAAAGACCGTTTAGTTGAAAAGAATTATTCATGTCGCACCTGCTACCTGCCAGGTGACAGTCTAGATGAACTGGAGATACAGTTGAAAGTACAATTTGTGGAAGACACAAGGTGAGGAAGTTCTACAGCTAAGGAAAAACTCACAAAGAGCAGGGACAGAAATGGAGGAAAATTAGGAGTGGTGATGGAAAGCACAGGAAGAGAATTTCACGTAGGAAGTAGTTACATCATCCAAAGCTGAGAAAGGTTAGGCAAGGTAAGGACTGAAAAGATAATGTTGATCATGTGGGGGTGGGGTGAGGAGAGGTCAGATTATAGTAGTTTTAAGAGGGAATACTGGACACAAATTTGTATAAATTATTTTTTAAAGAAGTTCAGTGAGGTAAGGACTAGAGGAGTAGGTGGATTCTAGGAAATTCTGTTGTCTTTTGTTTGAGATGGGAGAAATACACTGAGGAGAGAGTGGCAACATGGGGACAATCGAGATAAATGATGACAACAATCTACATTCGGCACCTACATCCATACCACAAAGCACATCTTTCTGGACCTTTAAACCAGTACATCAAAGAACAATACTATATGGTGAAACTTCCATTTCTGTTAACAGGTAAACATTGATAGGCAAGTAAATGGTTAGAGACTCTTAACTTTTATAGTTATTGAGTGATATAACAAGCCTGAAGGTACTAGAATTTATAGTAAGTAATTTATATAGTTATTTCATTCAGCGTTTATAATTTAACTTTGGTAATAATGACTGTTTACAAAATGGGAAGTTGAGGCTCAAGATTGAATGATGAGCATAAAGATGTAAAACCAGTAGAAACCTGCTTAACTCAAAGTTTATACTCTTTTCAATGCTCTTCTGGCCATAGATATTAATATTAAATGAAAGCATAGAGTCCTTTTCATGTGCCTGAGATCCAACCATAAATGTACTGGCCAAAAAAGTTACCACGGCAGTTTAACATCATTCTGAAAAAGAAAGATATACAGGATAATAAAAATAGCTAACATTTATAGAGCCAGTACTTTGTGTCAGGTGCTGAGCCCTGGGTTTCACACAGTATTTAATTTAATTCTTATAAATATTACTCCTATAAAAACAGTGAGGCTTTGTCTTCCAGTAAGGTGGAGTAGACATGCTTGGCACTATTTCTGCTGCTAAAAATGACTGAGAACCCTGGACACATATAAAAATATATATCATAAATCTATGCAGATGGTGAAAGGTGGAGAGAAATAGGCAGACTGGCTAGTGAACGTGGGACCCAAGAACAATACAGTGGTGAGTTCCTTGGGCTTTATTTTTGCCTAAGATATCCCAGATAATGAACAAGTGGACAACATGAACACGACTGGGCGGGCACATGCATAAAGAGCTCCGAGAGAAACCTGATC